AGTCTGGTACCAATGCAATGAGCAGAAGACAACCACAGAACTCATTTGCCACCGTTCACAAGTCTCTCATGCTTTCCAAACAAGTCTTCCATTTACCCCAGGAATGGCTATGCTCTTTACAGCCCTAAAGCAGCTATGATAATAATTCAAATGAAAGATAAGACAGAAAAGATTCCACTGAAAAACACCCTTCCTCAAAATGCTGCTGAAGAAAATAACAGATGTTGTAAGCAACATAATAATTCCAGCCAGGTTTCATCCTCTTACTTACCACTTGATTAGGAGAATAATTTGTGGATTTCTCTGGGTCCACATGCATGAAATCCACAATGCCAGTGAAGGAAGACAGAAAGGTCAGACTGATACCCAGGGGAGCCACCTAGAAGGGTGAAGGAAATTATACGTGAAGATGAAAAAAAAATACTTAAAAAAAATAATTAAGAAGTCAATTGGTTTTCAGAAACAGAGAGCAATTCACACATTTCACAAGAAGTCACCTTGCACTAAACAAGCACATCAAAATAGGCAACTGCTAACAACCCTGTTTTCTACAGTTTTGTAAAAACAACCCTTCAGATTTTCCCCTATGTTGTCCTTACTCTGAGAGTGCTGCAACAATGTTGAATACTTTCCTAGGCATAGACCACAGAAAAAAAATCATCCTGTTCTTCTCCATGGTTTATTGCCATCTCCTGGCCGAAGCCTTTGTACTCACAGTATCAGAAGCATGGCAAAGATCAAACCTTAGGTGAAACCACCGGGAGCACCTTGCTGAAAACAGTGTCTGCTCTTTTCGTGTAACTGAACCCAAACAGAGTTTTCCAGCTTACCAACTACCATGTCCACTTAAACCTTTATCTCTTCAGGAAGGCCCCAAAAAGAATAATGAAAAAGAAAATAACCCACAAACAAAAACACAGCTTACCTTCTGCACTCGAGCTTTTACCACCAGCCCTGGCAGTAGATTAGAGAGTGTCCAGTTCTGTTGCTCTGTTGCAATGGATGCAGAAACCTCTGATCGATCAGCAGACAAATGGACCACTCTTCCCTCATTCTTTACTTCCTCAATGAGGCAGTTCAGGCTCTGCCCTATTTTCAAGTCAGACCCTACAAAGGCAAGCCACAGCATAAATTCCCTTCCAGGAACACTAAGGAGTTCCCTTTTGTAGTTTCCTCCAAAGCTTTTTCAGAGTTCCTTCTATTTTAAGAAGCTAAAAGACCTCACCAAAGTGAGGTCTACAGCCAGCAAGGGTCAGAGGGCTTGGAACAACAACATGGCCTGGCAGAAAACAGGGAACCTAGTGGCTTTTTGCTTATCAGCCACTGCTGTTTTCAACAATTTGCAGACTCCATCATGTCCCAGCGCTCACTGAGGAGCACTAACACCACAGATACAGCGAGCTTCAATCCCTTTCATTCTCCACATCTATTTTAACTTCAGCAGCTCTTACTGTAATACTACATACCTTTCTTGACTGCTTTGATGTAACTTCGGGCTTTCTGATGAGGAAGGAAAGCATGAGCCCCTCTGACTCCAATATCAATGAGGTAGCCATGGTCTTCTACACTAGACACAAATCCAGAGAGCAGCTGTTGGGAGGGAAGCATTGCAATTCAGTAATGTGAAGAAACAGCTGCATCTGCAGAGAATGCACCTCTGAGGAGAGATTTACCACACAAGTACTCACTTGTTTCATGAGGTCAGAGAACAGTTTTGCAGAGCAAAGAACAAACGCAACATTCTTTCTTACTAGATAGCTCACCTGACAATGGGAGTCTGAACTCTATCCTTGTCCAGCTATGTATGTATGTTTGGAGTTAACGGACAAGTAGCATGAAAATAAAAATGGAATGCTCAACTATAGCAGGTGCTCTGACTGCAGACACAAACCTGCAATCATAAAGCTGGAAACACCAAAATTAAACAACCAAGCACCTCTAAGAGATAGGCTGTTAAATAAACAAACTTATGCAGAGAGAAGTAACTGCATAATTTGCTCAAATAAAAAAAATAAATAAATAAAAATCAGGTGAATGGTTTCATGGGTGACAGCCTGTAAGAACATAACCAAAATCCAATATTGCCCTCTCCTCCCAGGTCTACTCCTCTGGAGGCAGCAGCTTCCTGTTCTGTTCTGATAGCATACAAGGACAAACTGAGGAGTTCCACTCATGCACTGCAAGAAGCACCTCAAAAGGCTAGAAAGGCTGTGAACACATACCATGCCTGATGTTAGTGCTGATGCATTCAGACCCCTGTTGACATTTTTAGGGTTGATGGACAACTTGATACTCCGACGTCCATCGGCACTTTTCTCAACACTGGTCACAGCGCATCTGACCAACATCCCTGGAGAGTACAGGTCTGAGAGAGAATTCAAATCCTGCCCAGAAACATGATCAAAAGTAAGGAGGCGTACAAATACAACAACATTAATTCATGCAAGAAGGCCAGAAACAGTTACTGAATGAGTTTTTTGAAATAAAAATCCTATAGGAAAGTCCTCGATCTCTGACAACACTACAATAAAAGGCAGGAAATATCACAAACACCACAATCTCAATATAGAGGCAGAGACATACTGCAAAGTCTGCTAAGCTTTACTTAAATAGAAATACCAGGCAGGACAGAGCCAAGATGTTGCAGCTGAGGACCAAAGTACATCATCAGAGTGAGACACCAACTTCACCACCCTCTTCGACAAAGAAAAACATCACCACTAAGTGGCTAGCATCCAGCACATCGCATATTCCACAACAACTTAGGGAGAGCTGACACTGGATAGACAGAGTAGCAGGTTACTCCATCCTCTTTCTTTCCAAGAAGCTGCATTATCAGGAAACTGAAAATATAGTTTGAAATAGCTGGGCTCAGAGAAAATACACATTAGCACTATGCAGCAGGACTCTGTATGCAGAAACACAACAATATTATAAGGACCACGCTATTCTCTCCAAGCTCTCTGTGAGACACTGGCATCCTCACACCATCTTCCAACCATTTAATTAGCTTCCTCATTTAACTGCCTACAGCCAAGGATCAGTATTTAACTACAGCAGCAAAAAGAAAGCACATATCTATCCAAGTTTAACAGGCTGTCTATGAAGTTCATGCAATATTTAACCAAGGCTACGTTGCTGCAGGCAATCAAACTTCAGCTATCTGTAAGACACCAGAAACTAGGCTCCTAAGCAAGTCTTCAGGTTGATTCTGACTTATTTTCCCCTAGGTCCCAGACAGAAATCACAGCCCTGACCCACAGTCTCACCTCCAGCAGCTCCCCTTGGGTCACTTGCTTGCTCAACAATTCACTGTAGGCGTCACTGATCTGCGTGACTGGAACAAATCCCGTAAGTCCATTGGGCAAGCTGATGACAAGCTCAAAGACAGTTACCTCTTTTATACAACCAAGGAACAGCATCCCCTCACAGAGCTCCTGGGAAAACAGAAAGAACAGCACACAGTGGTTACCTTGGCAAGTCAGTGATAACAGTGTGGTAGACATCCTGAATTCCTGCTGTATGTTACAGGTTTTAATGAGGGAAAACACAAATTTTTTACCAAAGTCAGTAAGGGGGAGACACACAAAATAAAACATTTATCCACAAACCTGAATTGTGAGAGGTTCAACACTAACAGCAATGTCTTTAGCAGGAGCCTTTTTGTCTGCCTTGAATTTTTTCTGCTTCCTATGATCCCCTTCACTCCTTTTTCTTTTCTGTGTTTGTTCTTCATGGTGAATCTGAATTAATTATAAGTAGAGAGGAAAAGAATAAAAGTCGATAACAAGATGAACATCATGTTAAGGCACAACTCAACTGTCAGGAATAAAGTTAGATGAAAACATGAGATTGGAGAAAAAATGAAATAAGCATGTTAATTCCTACAGGCCTTCATGGGAGTCTTTTAAAATATCCCCTTTCAAGCTGAGACCAATCTTTTATAAAATCGTGAATCACGGGAGCAGAGAGAAGCAGTAAAAGCAAACTGCACCATGCTCCATGGAACAGAGGAAGACCAAATTTAGTTTGTCTGCATGCAACAACTCTAGTGGAACAATGCAAGTATCTCAGCACCAGATGCTTGTACAACATCTTCTGGTAATTTTCACTGCACTTCCCTGACATTCCATTCAACATGCATCAGATAGCTGGGATCTTTAAGAGATCAGTAGCAAGGACGATGCCAGCAGTTATCTCTTCACAGAAGTCTTTTCTAGAGGTTACTATAGAGGTAAGGGACAGGAAGAATTTTAGGTCATATTCTGACAGTGAATGGAACTCTTGACATACATCAAACAAGTTATCCTGCTCAAACTTTGGTTTTGTTTTTTTTCCTGTTGTCTCTGTGGGCTTCTTCTGGATTCCCCCTCGAGGAAAGTTTTCTTCTATGGATGCCATACCCGCGCTTCTATAGAGCAAATGACAAAACAGAAGTTAAACATGCAGCTGTTAGACTTGTTTCTTGTTAGATCTGACACTGAAAAGGTGTAAGACTGCATTATCCAAGAAACTACGAAAAAAATCCAGATAGCTGCTTCCCAGGCGGTCAGTGAGGAAAAACAAAAAATTCACAACGTATCTGACGTTTCACTACGCTGAAGCATTACAAGGGCCATCTAAACACGTGCCTTATCGCTAATTAATCACATTTAAAGCCGTCTGTCAAATACCGAACGCCTCTTTACCTACGGAAGCGTACAATGAAAGTCCAGCGAGGCGCGGTAAGCAGCAAACACCTTCCGCAGCCACTGACACAGACCGCACCGCTCAGCCGACAGAGACCCGGACTCCCCACCCCAGGCCCGGCCTCAAAGCTACCACTCGCACCGCTCCAAACCTCACGTGCGCCGCTTTCCGCGCGCCCCCGGAAGCGGTACTCCAGGAGGTCAAAGGTCAAAGGGCGGGCGGAAGCGGCGAGCCGTCCTCTAGGCCGGGAGGGGGGCGTCCTGCTTCCGTGGACAACCAATCAGCGTGCGGATTGGTGGCTGCGCGCGCAGCTGGGTGGCCGCCATCTTGTGGGAGGGCACTGAAGAAGGGCAGAGCGAGGCGGTGAGGAAGGAGGCAGCCAAGGTAGTTGTGGCAGCTGTGGTGGGAGGGAGCCTGTCTGGCTTGAGTGCGGGTCTTTGTCTCCTGCTCTTTCTGGTGGACTTTGCCGCTGGGTGGGAGGGTAGCTGTACGTGGTGTTGGGCTATGGTTATTCTCAAGGGTGCCCGCGACCTTCAATCGCTGTGTCGCCTCCTCAGCTCCGGCCCGTGGCGAGGCAGCATCTGTGAAAGGCGTGCCGAGGGCAGGGAGTTCTTCTGAAAAGGAAAGCTTGCATTGTGCTGTCTGGGCTCCGAGCCGCCCTTGGAAAGTTCCCAGTGACTCTTCTCCAGGGTTTTGCTTCGGTCTTGTGTAAATCAAAGATCAGGTTGGCTTTCCACGTCGTCTACTGCAAATGTCTGGGGAGGTTTCTTTGAGGTCTTCACTGTTTCACCCTCAGCTGAACGCAGGCAGGCATCTCTAACTGTATAGCAGAGGTGTTACAGGGCCGGGTTTGTGCAAGGATTGTGTTCATGAATGCAGAACTAGCTACAGCCATTCTCTGTATCTATTTTATAGGGTGCCAGGGGCTTCAGCATCTCTGCTAAGCTTGGTAGGTAGTGTGCGGCACGTGTACTTCCTTTGAGCTGAGGTATAAAGTAAACAAGTGTCTGTCTTAAATATGGCTTCCTTAAGCATAAGAGAAGGATACTCTTAAAAAATATACCTCTAAGCATTAAAACCTCTTATGCTGTAAGGAAGGTCAGATACTGAAACAGGCTCTCCAGGGCATTTGTGGAGCCTCCATCTCTGGAGATACTCAAAAATCTAATGACAAGTCCATGAGTGACCCTGTTTTGATCAGGTTGGGGTTGGACTGTATGATCTCTAGAGGTGCTAGCATCAGCTACTGAGTGATTCTGCAAGTATGTTCCTGTATGTTTGGTAGGCTGTTGTGCTAACTGACTTTGTGCAGTAGACCTGGGATTTTGGTCTAGGTGCAGACAAAATGCAAATGTGTGCTCTCATGCTTGGTGATTTCACTGTATCTGTGAAAACACTTATAAGGTCCTATAGTTGCCTCAACTGGCTTGCTGGTATAGCTGAAAACTGAGTAGAAATATGTATTTTAGCCCAGTCTGGTCAAGTAAAATACAATAGTAATGTGCAGCTGTGAGCAGAGCAGGTTTTAAAGCCCCTTATTTTCTTGCCTTTAAAAATGCAGTGCTCTGAATATGCCCATTCTTCAGTGTATATCTAGTCTGTTAAATGTTCTGAAAACATTGTAATAGTTTTGTCAGTGGAAGAACTAGGCACAGCATGGAGATCAGTTTGATCTTCTACAGTCCAACTGACTGTAAAACTTATTAACTGTCTTGTATTGCTTGTTAGAACCAGCAACCATGGCTGGCCATGACTCAGGATCTCAACACCAGTTCACTGGATTTCAGAAGTACTTCAATTCCTACACCATCACAGGCAGGAGGAATGTACGTATCATGACAACTTTTGTAGTCTGGTAATAATGTGTTTTTTTGAGTTTTAGACTGACAGTAAACTTTTTTTTTTACAGTATGTAATAGCAACGTATACAGGCATTGCAATGCTCGTCTTGTATTTCAAGCTCAGACCTAAAAAGAAAACTCCTGCTGTGGCAGATAAATAAATGGTAAGCGGCCAGTTTTCTTCCAGAAAATGGTTCAATTCCAACTCAGGAAGAAAGAGTGACAAAGAAACTGCTAATAACAAAACATAATTAGGAGAAGAAGCACAGGCATGTGAATTCTGTGCACAATTTTAAACCTTAATTATGTTGTAGAGTAATTTGGAGGGGGTGGGAGAGGGCCTTTTGTAGACCCCAGTAACGACCTAATTTGTTCAGAAATCATGGGTTACTGCTGTTCTTTTTATTCTTCAGACATGCCAAACAGGGTTAGGGATCCTCATGCAGAGTAAGCAAGGAAGGAGGAATGGATGGATGTTGCATCTAGGCGTGTCAGGTTTTGCCTACACAGTGTGTGCCTGTGATTTATCCTTTTGCTGTAAAAAAAATAACTATTGCTACTACTGCTTTGAGTATTGAAATAAAGTAATAGGTAATGACTTAGTTATTAACTGTATCTGAGAATTCTATGAGGAGATTAACGCTGCATTAAGACCTTTTGAACAGAGAAAAGGAGCCCTATACACAATGCGCTGAGAGCTGAGTAGGCAAGGACCATAGGGAAGTGGTTGAGCTTGTTCTTATGTAGCAAAAACCAAGTGTTACAATATATAGTCCACTTTCAAATACATTTTCACTGAAATGGCATTTTGAAAAAATCTTTGTGTTGTCCTCACAGCCTGCAAAATGGGTAGAAAACAATAAGCTTCAGCTTATTACTACTGTTTATGATAAAGGGACACTACTTCCTTTTTTTAATGTTGAAATTTGCCTGCTTTTATGTAAAACTGTTTGGACTGTGGGAAGGGATGATGCTCAAATAGCAAGCCTTGCACAGCGGTACTAATATGTTTGCTCTCTCATCTCTTGGCAGGTTTTTGGCATGTCTGAAGCACCAATCTGTGTCATTTTAAAGGAGACTGATGTCCTGTGGTGGCTAATAAAATATAAACAATTATTTGCTTTATTGAAAATTTGACATGGTGCAAAGAAGCAGAAGTGGGATACTTTCTTCCTATTTCAAAAATCATCTGTAGTGGAGATGGAGTAGCTGACTCTTTCCTGAGTATTTGATCTCATCTGTTGTTGTAACACATCCTCCTGAGCACTTAGTAGTAATCTAGGGAAGATCTCAGCAGCACGATCTTAGCAAGCACAGAGCTTACAGCTGCGCAGAGCATCTGTGTTGCTGAGTCTCATAGTGGACATCAGTAAACTTGCATGGCTTGCAATACTTGGTTGTGCTGGTTACTTTTTTTTTTTTAACACTTCCAGCTACTAACTTACATGGAAACCATTACTTCATTAATGATAATGCAGTACAGAAACAGCAGTCAGCTGCTGCCTCTGTTGCCTGTATTTTGCATAGAATCTTTCTGGTTTTGAGTTGAAAGCATCCCAACAGAGTGTGATCCTTAGTTGACTGGTATATACAGCCAGCTCTCTGCCCACCCCTAAAGCTGGTATATCATGCTCTCTACTCCATCTTTCTACAACAAAATTCAGTAAAATTCATTTCCTTCAATGGAGGTGGTTACACAGCACAGTGCTTTTTGGCAGGTCACCAGCAACAAGGGTTGAACGTGGGACCTGGGACACAAAAGTAGGAGACAAAAAGCCCTAAACTTAGGAGGTAAGCATGACTGCTGGCAAAAAGTGTAGGTCAGAGGAAATTACACAAGGCTCTCATGTTCTCCCTCCAGCCTTAATTTATTATTGAAGCCATCCTTTTGCATAAAACTAGTCTTTCTGTCCTGTTTACATCAACAGCCTCCGTCCTTTTTGACTTTCGCATACACTTGGCTAAAATGTATCCCATACAGTTAGAACTAAATGTAAGTTAAATAACTAGTCATCAACTGCTGAACTACTTTGTTTCTCCTAGCACAGTACTCACATTTAAAAGCACTGCTCTCACATCCACTGCAGCTGTCAGGGAAAGAAAGCATCTTCTTCCAACGTACAGTGTACAGACACAAGCTGTGTGGTTTTAGTATTTATTATACTATCAAAAGTATAAAACTGTACAAAACAAAAAGGCAGAATGTGGCAGTGTTTTCTTCAAGCTCTCAATGCTGTATGTGCTTTTAGGTAACTTAATTTACTACAATTTTACTTAAGTCTAGCTGGTCATATTGAGTGCTAGGAAATTTTGATGTACCTTTACAGATAAAATCCACAGTAGTTTAGTTTTAACCTTTTGTCTTTAAAGAAAGTTTCCAAATTAGTTTCCTTATGAATTTTCTACCCTTATTTTGACATTTAATGCCCCAATGCCCCTTTACTCCAAGGCTTAGTCAGAAAAAGGATGAGATAGGAGGTAGTTCTTTGTTTACTTTAGAAATGTCAAGTCTTGGTTTTCTGCATCTTCAGTAGAGAGCCAGCAGATTGTTTAAGTGCCTGAGCCCTTACTGCAAGTAGCAGGGAATACAAACAGATTTCCTTGTATGTAGAAGATTCTAAGAGGCCTTTCCTTTTCCATTCATAGACCCCAAAACATGCTCTATCCTCCCAGTATTTTGTATCTTTTCCTTAGAAGCTCTGAGCTTTACTGGTTGTCCAGCAAGACTTACTGGAGTATAGCAGGGTTTTTTTGGGTGGCAATTGTCACACAAGCAGACAAGCCAGCCTTTCAAAAGCAAACTGATAGCATACTGATGACTGAGTAAGCTTTTTGCTCTGCAATTTCTTGATCCTTCACTAGTTTTTACAGTGTGATGTATTGAACTATGTGCTGAAAGGATGCTGGTTTTTGAAGCTTTTCAAATCTAATAAAACACATGAGGGTTTAAGTATAATGTTTTTAAAATTGGGTGATGCATGTCAGTTGTCCCTTTCCCCCAGACCATCCCTCCAAAGAATTCACATTGCAACTTGTGTTGCTTATCACACAGCAGCAGCTACTTGTCAGAACAGAATAACAAGATCTGCATTTCTAATAACTCAAAAGAGCACAGAAGTTTGAAATCTTTTCAGGACTTGGTACTTAGATGCATAAAAACTACATGTAACTTCTCTGCAGTTCCCCACAAGCCTCTGCCTGTTGGGCTTATTCTTTCAATGCCCCATTTGTTGCTGTAATATCCTCACCATACCTGTTGCCCAGCCTAGGCTATAGTGAGTTAAACTACATTCTTCTTTTCTGAGTCTGAAGTTTTTACCTGTGTTTGAGACTGGTTAAACGTTACCAAACCATACATTAAGTGCTTTAAAAAAAGTCATTTGAGAACAAATACCAAGGCTGTTAACTTTCCAGAAGTTTCAGCAGAGCTCAATAGCATCTCTGAGAGGAGACAGCCGTTTCCATATACATACATATATATATATACACGTACGTATACATTTACCAAAAGCACCACGAAACAATTCCTTCCTTTAAATCCACAATGTCTTGTCAAGCTCCAGCATTTTCAAACTGTGGGAGCAGAACATGTGAATTATGAGAGCAGAACAGAGATGTTGCTTGAGTTAGTTTACACAATTTTGTTTCTTCCTGCATTGGACTGGTGAAGTCCACCCATACAAGACATTTCTCTTCATCTCACATTCTGAGGTCACTGCTGCAACAACTTGGCACAGCCAGCCAGTCTCACATCTTCCTGATCTACTGTGAACTGTAGGCTCCTGCAGCGAGCAGCAAGTTCCTGCGTGTAAAATGAAGGTGTACAACTGGAGTTGATTTGGTCATGTATGTACCTAGTAACAAGTCCTGTGAGTTTTCAGGCAAGTTTATGTGTCCCGTGGCTGTAGTAAAGTCATCCGTTTCTAAATCTTCAAATGCTTTCACTGCATCCCACAGCCGAACTGTGTTATCCATTGAACCTAAACGAGAAAAAAGGAAAGTAACAGTTAAAAGTCTTTTCCTTACTAGACAGCAAGTAAACACAATAGGAATTCAAACTCACAAAGCAGAATTACTCATAACTGAATAGTAAGCCCTCATCCTGCAGTGAAGCATTTTTAAACAAGCCTTTAACAAAGCAAAAGCACACATAAAAGCTATCACCTGTAATCTAACAGGGACACACTGTGGATAAAGTGCAAAGAAACACATCTGGGTTTCCATGCTATCAGCCAGCATTTGAAAAGGCAAGACAACCTTAGGGCTACATCCCAACTCCACCAGATGTTTATGATTCTAAGTCACAGTAACTTTTTTTCTGATACTTGAATACTTTCTTTGATAGAGGGAAGACCCCGGTATTTTGCAGGCCCAGAGGTCTGTGCTTTCATTGGAGCACTGGTCAGCTGAAGGAACCACCATGCAGGCTGGATCAAACCTGCACTCTGGAAGCATTCACCCTGTGGTAGCGGCTCACTCAGGATTCTTAAAGCACTGCAGTTAGGAACAGGGAACTAAATAAATTCCTAGCCTGATTTCGTAAGGAAATTACTTAGAATCCAGCTTACAGTATCTGTACATTATTTCTTCTATCAGAAAATGAACTTTTTCACTAACTTCAACTAGTTGACAGAACAGAGCAAATTTGGAATTTCCTAAATTCCTATGCATTTTAAGACAACAGTTCACAGAGATGAAACTTTGTGCCTCCACAGAGTGAAAATAGTGGCCCTACCAAAGGAGCCCTACCAAATCAGCCACCAGAGTATCCACGTGGACAAGCAGGAAAACCAAGCAAACTTCACAAGTTCCACTGCTCATAAACCTGATCATTGATACATAATTTTATATTAAAAATCTAGCACGAAATAACAGTAAGGCTACAGATTACTTATTTTCTTGCCCTCTCTTCAAGTCCTGCTATGTGCCCCCCACCTCTCCTCCCATCTCAGTACCCCAAGCATCTTTAAGACCAGCCATTTCTTGTCTGCCCCAGAAGTATTTCTGACTTCAGTTTACACCAGCACTATGTACAGAGCCCAACCTTCACTATCAATTAACTGTGTAACACCTTTCCTCCAGTTCCCAGAATACCTGCTACCACCAGTTTTAATTTGCTGGGTCTGCTTAAGACAGTGACTAATTTGTCTTCCACAGCTTAAGGAATCCATTACATAATCCCACTTCACATAGACGGAACACAACGGAAACTTGCTTGCTTCCAGCGACTTTTACCTGATGCTAAAATCTCCCCATCCCTACTGAATCGGAGCGCATAGATGGTGTCAGAGTGCCCTTTCAGTTCTCCGACCATCAAGCCGTGTCCAATATCCCACAGCAGAACTCTGCCATCTGTTGCTCCAGTAGCCAGGAATCGTCCATTAGGAGAAAATGCCAACGAATGAATCGGACCCTACAAAAGACATTTGCAGAGAGGAAAGCCAAACAAGCTAATTAAGCCTTCTTAGCCAGTCAATCTGTATTCTAAACGCTGTATTCTTCAGAATCCCACCATAGAAATTGTCACGTCGGTGATGTGCCTTTACCTTATGTCCAGTGAATATTCTTACACAATTCCCATTTAAAACATCCCAGAGCCGTACAGTTCTGTCTGCTGAGCCAGTGGCAATATAGTTGGAGTTGGGGTGAAATCGAGTACATGTCACATCTGCAAGGTGGCCAGCAAATATCCGTAAAGGCTGGTAATGATCTGTTGCCCACAGTCTGAAAAGAAAAGCTTTGTTAATAAAGGGAGCCCCCATGAAGTTCAGAATCTATTGCACAGTAATAAAAAAAGGAAGTAATTAATGAATGGCTTCTCACTGGTAAGTTTACTGAATTAGCAGGATCTGTTCTGGAAAACTGTGCTTCTCAGAAGGGAGAAATAAAGAATATTCTGTCATGGTTAATAAAGAGCAGGAGAAAATATTTTTAATTAAATGACCACGAAGGAGAGATGCTATCTCTGATGTGTGTTGAAAGGAAAAAAATATGTACATTAAAACAGCTGCTCAGTATTTTAACTCCCGTGTGATAAAATTTATTTCCCAAAATAGGTTAGCCTATAGTACATCAGCCAATAATCTCTTCCAGGGTTAATTCACCACAAAACTGAT